TTATCTAAAATTCATAATCAAAAAAAAATTTTTTTGCTATGTGACTAACTAATATCCCTAATAATTTTCTAATGGAATAGTTTCTTAGTGCAATAAAGATAAAGATAATGATATAAATAAAAAGTAGAAAGGTTTGAAAAAAAAATAATAATAATAAACAAGAAAAAGTGAAGATCACATTTCGTCTAATGATCGTTAATTAAAGATTGCCTTAAGTGGTAGTGTGATCGACACGCCAAATAAAGAAGTTGCTAATTACTTACCTTTGCAAGTAACGTCCACCCGTGAGAGGATCGTTCCAGGAGTCACTAAGGTATTATAACTCGAACTATCTGAAAAGATAACATAAGGGAAGAAAAGAAACACTATCAGCAAAAGTTCAAGACTTGGCTAAGTCAAGTCCACGCAGCAAGAATAATAACTTTGAGTTACACAAGTTTGGTCCGGCATTAGCGACTGACTTGACCGAATTAACGTCAACAATTTTTTTGCTATAGTCAATCTACCAGATAATTGGAGCCTCTTATGATATTAATGGCTTATAATCATAAAGTTGATCTTGCGGAACATTAGGTCTATACCCTCCATCAATAGAATACCATATACAGTATCCAAGTTTATAATGCAGCGAATTTCTCTACCAGGCATGTGAAGAAATTTCTTTTCCTTAGGATTGTTATCATTTCTAACCACCTCCCAAGCTTGTTTTGCTAATGAACACGTCTCTTATTATAGTCTTTGGATAAGGCGTGCACTTCCATCTTGGGTTTTGGCCTTGGAGCATTCATTATCCCCAACAGGTCCTCGGATTTCATCTCAAATCCATATCTGCACCGTCCATTGAAATGTCTTTTTGGTTTTACATCGGGTAATCCTTACCAATTTCCAGCAATCGAAGCAAATAACCATATTACTCTTATGGGTTTTGGGTCGACGATAAACATAAGAATTATCCATCTTACCATTCCCGAATCCAGCAAACAAGCTGTGACGGTAATATACACTAAATCTCTGATTGGCTAACAGTTCTTGTAATCGAACTCTAACACTTACAGCCCAAGCAACTAGTGATTGGCCTGGCTTGACAACTGATAATATGTAATATTCCCTTTCTATTTAGATTATTTTTTCGAGGTCAGAGCCATAACGGTAATTTACAATATATGCATTACTGTAATGTATTCCATATCATATTTAGGGCGATTATTAACAGGTTTAGGTGCAACCTTATTAGATCGCTCATCTAGAATAATATCGATACTAAATCCTGACATAATGAATATACATGATTTATGCAATTAGTAATACTAGAATTAAGTTTTATCGTATCTGCGATTTTATCAATTTTAGCAACTTATGGCGATTCTTTATCAACATATACTAATGAACATCGCGATTCAAATTTATATGAATCGTCACGGACAACTTTATAATACATTTTAGGATTTATTTCATGCCGAAAACCTTTACTATAATCATTTGTAGCATATATTTATTTCTACAATTAAAGTTTTTCTAATGCACAAAGTTAACATAACGCGGAACACAAACCGAAAACCAGGAGACCATCACATATTCACGTATGCGTTACACACTTACGCTATTAATACTTAAAATACGATTGCAGAAATGCACAAAGATAAAAATAAAGTGATCATATAGAATATGCAAAATAATTTGAGTATAATGACTGCTCAATGCTAAATCCTTGCTTTCTTAGTTTTTTTTGCGGTAATAGTGCTCTTGGTTTTCTCGACGCTTTCAATAGAATTAATCATTCTCGTAGTCATCTTCTTAGATCCACCTTTACTCCACATGAAGTCTTTTATTGTTTCCATGCTTTCAAGCAATAAACGCTAATTTACAAGAAATCGAGTGTTAGTTTTATGATCTTTGTATTTCATTTCTTCTGAGACCCATTTATACAAACCTCATACTCTAACAAGCCCATTACTGTTTTATGAGCCTTTGTCATGTCCGCCCATCTCTTAGGTAACGGAAATGTTAATATTATTTCCATGGTATATATTTCCGTATATTTTAGTTGAAACTCATAAATGGTCAGCTCATTTACTGTAAACACAGAGTTAGTAACGGCAACAAAAATAAGAGAGGAATTCAGAAATTAGAGCTTACAATATGACTGTAGCCCATATAGTCTGATCAATGTAATATCCGAAGTCGGGTTAAGTTCGGCAAACTGGTTCATTAAAGTCTTTAACATTTTTGCTATCTTCATCCGATCCCCCTTAAAATGCGCCCAATCGTTTTTCATCGGAGGACCACTCACTTCAATAACTGAAAACTCTTTATCTTCTTCTCTTAAGGAAATAATAGTATCAATTTTTTTTCCATTATATCGACGTTCATCATCTGCCTTGTTGGAATTACGACCCCTTGCACTTGCCCTAAGACACGTTTCACCGTATGAAGCACACCAATATTGTTTATTTTTAGTAAAGAATTCGGAGAGGATGGGCGCTAAAACGTTAACTATATACGTTTCCTCAGACATCGGTTCGATAAGCCAATTCACATTTTCCATTAGTTTTATCCTAAAAGGTTAGTCTCATTAGTCACTATCCTCACTAAATTTTTTGGTAAAAACCAAGTAATATAAACTCACATGTGACTCACGAATTCCAACGCAAAAACTTTCCCAAATGAAGCAATATGTTCTTCTTTTTGTTGCTTTAGTTTTTCTTTAGTGATTTTGATATCACGATCAATAATATTATCTAGAAATATCTTAATATCTTGCTCGATATTATCTTTCGTTTTTTCTTCATTCCTCCTTATGTCGCTACGCATCTGTTCAACGATAATTTCATCTAGTGTACTTAAGAAACCGTCCTTGTCATTTGAATTGAAGAAAATAACGTCATAATACTCTGACTTCGTTTTTGGCGGATTTTTGTCAAGTTGATATTGTGTCAGGCTTTCTCTGATACGAACCCCATTTACAATCCAATCGGTGCCTTTTCCACCAATGATCGTTTGGTCAGCATTATATTCGCCATCCTCTTCTTCCTCCACATCTCGGTCACGCTTTGTTCCTTGTGAACTTACAAAAGAAGGATTCGGTTCTGGTCGCTTATGAATGTGTGCTGGGAAAGTATCATAGATTGATGTTTTTATTTCTTCATCATCTTTTGGTGTTTTAAATTCAGCTAAAGTTTCCACTTCCTAAGGGAAGTCATTAAAAACACATTATTTTTTTCTATTACTTCAGTGGTTCAATTAGTGTACACGCTTTTTTTGGTGCTATGTAGACATAAATATAATTACCTCAATTTGTTGCTCAGTATCTAATATGAATCTTTTAACAATTGATTTTTGTAAGAAAAGACCTTGACCTACGGTTTTTTTTGTTGCATCTAGAATGAGTTTGATCTGTTCACGACATATCTGATTCTCTAGTTCGTTCTATTTGAAGGCATTAGGAAGTATTGTATAATCAACAATTAAATTCAAAATAATATATATACAACGTACCCGTTTCTTCTCGAGCAATTTGCATTTATCTTCAAGCAACTTTAACTCCACTAGAATATTTTGTCTTTTCAATTGAAGATTCCAAAAATGGTTTATCTGATCTGATGATTTATCATTCTAATAAAAGTATCTGACAAATTTAGTAGGCAAATAGCGGACAAGTCGCAACCTTTCCCGCAACCAGCGCGGTAGTCCGTTAGAGTATATATATTATATACTCTCAACAAGTCGCAACCTTTCCCGCAACCAGTCTCAACCAGCACGGTAGTTGAAAGAACACCATTTTTTTTTTATCATTTATGATGTGCACACCGACAAGTCGCAACCTTTCCCAGTACCAGTCACAACCAGTATGGTAGTTGGTGTCGTAAACTTACCTTAAATTGGTTTAACCAACTATTCGCCTTTGCCCCAATTTCAGAATTTTTACCATGGTAACTTTGAATAATTTCCAATTCGGTTTTGTATTGACGGTGCTCTGTATCTTTATCTTTTAAATTGTTTGCTTTTAATCGGAAATCTAAGAACTTCTTTAACGAAGGCTCATCCATAGACTCCCAAAAGACTACATATTTTACAACCGAAAGGTTACGCAAGACTTATCATAAAAAGACTAGTATAATTGTCTTACCACTGTATTTTAGCTCGTCGACACATTTAGGTAAAAGGTACATTTTGCGAGAGTTAAATACATAAAGTGGGCGAAAAATTTTTTGGGGTATATCAATTTAAGATCACATGCTATAAAAATTTTCATAGTCACATGATTCTGATAGTAAAATCTTTATTACAAACAACCAATGTAATGGGAAAATAAACGCAAACGATCTAAAATAATGTAGATAATTAGGAAGCGATAAAACATATAGTACCATCATAAAAAGAAGAGACTATTGTTCACTCAAGTAAAGTTTAATAAAGTCCAAATTTGCAACTTCGTTGGTGTGACTGATAGAAAATTGGAGCTTATGATTTATAACAGAAAAATCAATATTTTCGGAAAATGATCTGGCAGAGAAAGGTATAGTAGCTAGCACCCAGATCAAAACCCCAAGAGTTAGTCGACGATTTCAAAGAAGCACCAATTTTTTTTTAAAAATACGACAGTAATCAAATTTCATAACCCATTAGAATTATAACCTGGGTAAATTATTAATATACCTTATATTGTATATTAATTTAAATCTTAACTATTGACATAAAAAAAATATCATTTATGAATCAGAATGGTTTTTATCTAATCCACATTAAAATTCCTTATAATATTAGTGAAAAGTTGTAATACGCAGGAAGTTATAGTGAACCGATGATTGTTATAAAAATAAATATATAGTTTATTGTAAGCACAAATATGCTGTATACATAATAAAGATATGACGTAAATATTTGATCTCTGAATAAACTATATCGTTGATACTTTTAATATTATGGCCTAAACTAAATTCGAAATATTTGTCTTATTCAATATCTTAATAAAAACATTATCGAAAATCAAATTTATGACCCTATTTAAAGATGTGATTCCAAAAGTTATTTCCTTGAGACATGAAACGTTTTTCTTCGTATTTGAACGTAAAATTTCGACCAAGTTCTGCCTCCACTTTTATTCTTTTCAAAGTTTGACCATTGAGTGGCAATTCATACAGTTCTTGTACGAGATCAGAAATTTCTTTTAGAG